TTTATGAGGAGCAATTCTTTTACTGAAAACAAACCTCAAAACAGAACAATAAACAAAGCCACAAGTGCGTACGATGTTGCATGCACAAATACTAGACAAATCAATCATTCTCCATGGTGGCTTAACGGGCACAGCACCACAGGTCCACCTTTAAGTGTTGTAGGAAATCCTGTGGTTTTCGACTTCTGCCTTTACATTCGCGATGGCTTGCCACACTCACCGCCAGCCAATTTGTTACTAACGATCGAAAAGACGATCTGCGCGTACCAATTGCAAGGACCAACGCGTGTGCCGACCCAGGTCTTTCTAGAAAGAGTTCGTGGAAGACTTTCAAGACGGTAAAAATCGTTGAGAACAAAAAAAAAAAAGGATACGGCAAGTACTGGAGGAGGGCTAAATATAGACTCAGTGGCGCACACCACTTTCTTCTCCTTGACATCCTGGCGTGCCTCGCGGGCTGCTTCCTTGACGGCCGCCTTGTCGAAAGCGAAACCTTCGGCAAGAATCGGAATCGATTAGCAGGTCGCGCCGCCGGCATGTAGCCAAAGCCGTTGCCGAAGCCGGAGACCTTGTTTACAAACACGTCCTGCGGCGACCGAGGCTGAGTTGTTTCTGACGGACGGGTCGCCTTGTTGCGTTGATTTTCTTTTTTTTTTTTCTCTGCACTGGGCGGTTTGTTTGCTTCAAAAGTCGAGCTTCCGTGGCCACGAGCATTCCTTTGGGCGCTGCGTCAACCCAACGTGTCGCGAATGCCAAAGGAAAGCCCTTAGGCAAGCATTCGTTTCAGATTCACGTCCATTTGTGTACTCATTTTCAACTACTTTATCGTGTATTATATGGGCGCCAATATTTTGGACGTTTACGTGAATGATCTTCGGTGTCGTCTGTCGCCAGATCATATTCACGACGCTAAGGAAACGTCAAATGCTTCCGAACAATCGGTGTCGTGTGTAATGGTGCCCTATCTTGACTCTGGATCGCTGATTTAGCAGTTAAATATAAATATTGAATATAACGACAGCATTAACAGCTTAAGGTGCCGCCACATAAGGCGTCTGTATGACAGCATAGACGTGTCTCCGTACTTAAGACAGTATATGCGCTGTATCAAAGACGAAGGTTGTCCTTATCTCCTATCCGCCGTACCTTTCTCTGGTCCTTATCGCACGTTGAAGCCTCACGAACGAAGAGCAACAGATAAACTTAGGGTTGGTTAATCAACACGGGCCTGCCAGACATTTTGAACATTGAGATCAACCTACGCTGAGACTACTGAAAATTGTAGAGTGTGACAATTGCAACAACTCCGATTGAGCTGCGGGAACATTGAGACATCTGTGGGTTGCCTTGACGACGAGAGCTTGTTCAATGTCGTCGCCCGCCGCTTTAGAAGTTTACCTCGCGAACGGCCATCGATAGCAAAGACGGCGGGGCGATGTGAGAATGAGAGAATCGATGCGATACCGCAAAACGAATCAATTCGGTGACGCCGATATCGCCAGTTCGATCATGAACCGATGTTTAACCAGCTGCGTGGCGTCTGTTATTAACACCCCAATGTTTGCCGGAATGTCAATCTCAGACGTACAATCACGGAATAGACGAAATGAACAGAGTGGATTAACTAATTATTATATGAATTATTTACTCATTAACTATTGAATACTTGCAGATAAACGGAATGAGACTACATCACTTGCAAAGAATGTAGTAGTAGTAGTAGTATTTTTATTTACAGTGAGCCGGATACAGAGCTCACTGCAGGGGCAAAGGGCTAAAGGCGAACAGCCTGACAAAGGCCCTTGTCCCTCCGCAGTCCGTGACAGTGCAAAGCTTAAACATCAGCACTGGCAAACAATATATATATATTCAATAAATTGATTTCAAGCAACCTGCAATTGTACACACAAAATTCAAACATAAATGGCATAAGAAGTTTACATAACACATTTCAAGAATTAGAGGTCACTCTCGTTAAAATTCACAACTAAGCAACATCAATGAAACAACTCAAAAACATACACAAAATGCATGCGGATACAATGCATTCCGCTGTATACACTCGTATAATTGACATAGAAGTTTATGAACAATTTAAGCATTTGCAGAGGCATGGAACCCATGGAACTAATTTTTTTTATATAAATAACGATTCGCAACGCTCCGCCCTAGCTTCTCCGTAATCTCAGCCAATAGCGGTCGAGAGACACCATCTTGAGAGGTTCGGAACCGAACCAGACGACGAAAACGAGTCATTTCTCTAATCGTTATAGCCGTACGCTTCTCTAGCTCTCGATCGTTGTGAACCGTTGTCGTAGAACCAGTAGCCGCAACGCGGAGGCCAGCTATTATCCGTGATCAGCGAAGGTCGCAACCTCTAGTATTAAGCGCCACCCTCTCGCTACCCTAGGGGGCGCGGCGCTATGAGTCGCTCGCAGCACATACACGGTAATGACTCACGACCGTGAAGCCAAACAAGTGGCCGGGCGGCTCGTAGCAGACGAAAGTGAAATTGCGACCTTCCTTTCTGCAAGATAGCCGCCGTTTTTTCGTCTGCTCGGTCGTGCGCACGCTCCGGCGCCATTAAGGGGTCTGCTAGAGGGCGAGAAGAAAGCGGCTTCTAACGCCGCCTCGCAGTCTTGGCTGTGGGCACTGCGCCGTGCCCCATACCGGGCTGCAGAAATTAGGCGCCGTCTACTTCTAACCACTACCACCGCTTCTGACTCCCCCCCCCCCCTTTTTTTCTGTCTTCTTTTCAAAGACATTTCCTTTCTCTTTTTTTTTTCTTTCGCTTCTTATCTACGCTGCCGAAGAAGGAAAAAATTCCGCCATATCCACGAAGTGAATGATGATGAGTGGGCGAAGCTCCGGAGGTAAACCTGGTAAACCATGAATCCTCTGTACATTTTGCCCACTCGATTTTATTACATCGCTCCCTCTAGCGTACGTCGCCGCACTAAATCGAACGATTGCCTTCAACCAATGACACGCGCCATATGTGACATCATTCCTATTTTATAAGATCTCGCGTCTTTCATCAACTACAAGTACCGCTTTCTAGTTTATAACATCTTGCATCTTTTCATCATCAGATACAAGTACCACCATCTAGTAAACACTACAAGAACTAAACGAGAGGTGGCTACATACAGGAGACGGTACCGCCATCTAGTGAACACTGCAAGAACTAAACTAGAGGTGGCTACATACAGGGGACGGTACCGCCATCTAGTGAACACTGCAAGAACTAAACTAGAGGTGGCTACATACAGGCTACAGGGGACGCACAGCCCACGCCCTAAGGAGCTTCGCCCCTAAAAAGCCTACCCTTGTCGGCCTCGGGTAAAATCTGCCCGTAACGAAGAAAACAACGCCTAGTGGTATAGCTCACTGACAACTGTTAGAGCACGAAAGAAAATTACCTCAAGCCACTCTGGTTAGTTACTGCTGCAGCCGCTGCTTCGTCTACAGTGCTGCTAATAGTAGTAAGACAACGCAAGCTATCTCCGCTTTGCCGCCACTGCTTGTTAGTACTGCCACTGCCTGTTGACCCTGTCACCGCGGTCACCAAACTGGTAGCAGCGATAGTAACGACGGCATCAGCCAGTAGTAACGTAGGTGACAGCAGCAGTGTGTAGACAGTATACTGCTAGTTGTAGCGGTAAATTTTGCAGCGATTGACGAACTTCTTCAACTCCAGCTATGAAATTTACTCACGCATAACTTATGCAGATTTTCACGACATCAAAGCACTCGATTTAACGAAATTCGTTCTCCTAAACATGTTTACGCTACGACGGCTGACAGGGCGCCAAGGGTTTACCGCTATTCTCTGTAATACAACGTCTTTCATATATATAACGAACTTCCCGTTTGAGCAAGCGGATTGCGGACAATCCACGCAGCAACATTTTATGTGCCTGCTGTGATCCACTCCACAGCAAATCGTCTTTTTTTTTCCACCAGTGCTATCATTTTCTCAATATAACAAATTCATCTATAAACCTAAATTCGTGATTTTATCTTATAACCTTTGCGTAACGAATCAAGAGGTCTCCTCGAGTAGCGTTCGGCACGCCTCTTGTCGTACTTCTGTTCCGCAGTTCACCTTAATCTTACGGCCGTTCTCGATACTGCGAAATTGCTCTGGATAACGACCTTTCCGAGTGAAAGATAGATAATTGTAACATTAGGATAACAAAGTTCTTGTGCGTGTTCGGACATTTTCAGCGTACGGCCCGAGCGAACTTATCTATTAAACGAACTTGAGTCATCTGCGCCCACCGAAGTGGAAACTAAGGGCCGAGGGATAATAGGTTGATTCATACGGGACCGCATTAACTGGGGAAGCATGTGAGAGGAACTCGTCCTGCAGAAGGGCGTAGTCAGGTTGATGATAATGAAGATAATGACGACGGCGCTGATGATGATGATGAACAAAAGGAGAAAGGTGAATGTGTGTGACGTTCGCGTACTCATTTGTTTCCAATTCACAGCCAATTCTTTTTTACCAATGCTCTAAATGCAACGACAATTCACTTAACCAAAAACTTTATAGTTGAATGACTTTTGTTTCAACCTATCTGTAAATAACGGGTATTTGCGTACCATATAGGACAAGTGTGTCGCATGCCTTTTCACACTTTTCCGGTTCACATCACATCTTCTTCTTGCCCCTGTTCTCAACACAGCGGCATGTCTCTCTCTAACGAACTTCTCCATTAAGCGAACTTAACGAGCGGCCTTCGCGTAACGAAAATAAAACTGACGGCCGACAGGAGAACTGGAGTTAACTAGTGGAATTATATGCGACCTGTTTAACACGGGACACGGGACAGGCCTGCGAAACACGGGACAGGCCTTCGCCCTGAAGTGCGCTATGTCGGGGTGATGATGATCATGATAATGATTAAAGGAACAAAAAGGGTGCGTGAGTGTGACGTTCGCCTGCTCTGTTTCGTTTCCGGTCTTCGGCGCACCCGGTCGTCCTGAAGCCGATGGGCGTCTGCCATGATGGTCACTGAAGGAGAGCCCATCGCCAAGCAGCCTCGGCCCGGCGAGTGGCTGTGCTCGATGGCGGCCGTGGCCGCGTCGGCGGCCGTCGACCTGCGCAACCGCGAGCCGCTCTTCCCGACGCGCAAGCAGCGAGAGTTCATACCGGACAACAAGAAGGACGACACCTACTGGGACCGCAGGAGGCGGAACAACGAGGCGGCCAAGAGGTCGCGGGAGAAGAGGCGCCTCAACGACATGGTGCTCGAGACCAGAGTCCTCGAGCTCGCCAAGGAGAACGCCGTGCTACGGGCCGAACTGGCTGCGCTCAGGTGGGTCCGTCTGTCAATAGCGACGTGTGAAGGGAGGTTTTCCATATCGTCATACTTTATCTGCTACTCTACGCTGGGTCACCGAAAAAGAGATGGTAAACCGATGAAACGAAATAACGTATGCAGCGAACCATTGCGTACTACGAAACGACGGTTAAGTTCCTTACGATACTCCATTCTCATTGACTCGGATGTAAGGGCTATACACCAGAGGCGTAGCCAAAAATATACTTTTTTGAGGGCTGGAGTGTGTGTGGTTCAATCACACTTTATGTGTGTTCGTGCGTGTGTTTGTACGTTTCTGTGTGTATTGAAACACGCAAAATCGGGAAAAATCCGGGGGTAAAGGCTTGACGCCCCCCCCCCCCCCCCCGTTGCCGCCCAAATTCTTGGCTACACATGTTACAGACGTAACTTGTAGAACACTATACTAGATATTGCGTTGTAACGTAATTTATGCTGATATGTGTCTGCTAACATTAAAGCTTCCGCATTTTTAGGCTGTCCAATCTTGCGGAGGTTCTGTTGTTTCTCAACGTAATAGTGCATGCCAGAGGCAGGCTCATTGCCAGAGTGGTGGGAGGGTGTTATGGGGACCGCCCCCTTCCCCTCCGAAATTTGGATTCAGAGTGTTCCTCCCAGAATAAATCATGAAAATACGGGCTTTTCAAGGCTTTCAACAGGTGCCCCTCCCCCGAAAATATTTTGTGGCTGCGGGCCTGACCGCACGCAAAAGTAAATGTAACGTTATACTATCCCATAATTAATTATCCCTAGCCAGACCAATTTTTCAACCCCATAAACTGATTCGATGTTTTCATACGTTATTGTCCGACCCGTCACTAATTCACCCCTCACCCATCACTCATTCACTTATTGTTGCGCCAGGATCATTTGAGCAAACTTTAGTTTTCTTCGACCCGAGTTGCGTTCTACAACGTTCTCCCCCTCTCCCCCACCCGCTCTCTCTCTTTTTCAGCGCTCAAAATTCTCCCCAAATTTACGTCTCTCCCCTCAGGGACAAATTCGGCATTCGCGGTTCGCTCGTGGTCGAGCAGCAACAGGCGCCCCAACACCCGCCCGACATAGCGGTTCCCGTCCCGGTTCCGGCCGCCGCCGCGGCGGGCCTCACCGATCTGCGAGGCCGACGGAACAAGCTGCTCTCGGCGTTACTCCCGGCACTGGTGCCGCCAGCTTCGGCGGGAGCTGCGCAGCCGCTGGCAACCTCGCCCTCGCCTTACTCGGCCGCGTCGTTGGCACAGCAAGCGCAACAGGCGCAGCAGCAGCAGTTGCAGCCGCACCAGGCTCACCTGTTGGCGCAGAGTCCGAACCACCTGCACAGCCACCACCACCCACAGCTGAGTCAACAGCTCAACGGTCAACCGCATCCGACGGCGCTACTGTGCACCGCGCCGCCGCCGGCCCTGGAAGACCACGCCACGGCAGCGACGGACCAGGAGTCGTCGCCACTGTCTTCGGGTGAGCCTTACATCTCAATGACTATAATCATGGTTGCAAGGCACCTTTTTGAAAGAATGTTAGGCGTCCAGTGTCATTATATAGTCGATTACAAGGTTAACCCAAGAAAACATGCCAGCTCCGTCCATAGAAACGCGACGCACCTATACCCTTCACATGCGAAAGACACTGCTGCTAGCTCGATTCCGTCGAAATATTAAGCACTTTTCATGTGCTAATGTTAACATAACGCGTATTGAGAGTAAAAAGTGGGTCGCTACTACCTAGAAAATCAAGCTTAACCCAGCAACAATGGCAGAGTTCCTAGAAAGGTTTACCAGTACGTTCAAGTTTCCAGGCAAGGACTAGCGACACAAACGCACTTGTGTGTGAAAAAAATCAATTATATGAAACAAGCTCGAAACAGTAGACATAAAATAATGATGAGTAAGCGCTAATGCGCGGAGAATTCATGAGAGAAAGCGATGACTGAACGGAGCTGATTTCTTTAATAGGTTGTATCTGGGTATAGATTGTTGTCATTTGCGACTTGCGCGAGCGTGACAAGGCTGCAGACTTACTCACTGGTGGGCTTGGCGACGCGTGCCTACGTCGTTGAGTTTGTGAAATATCAGCGAATCAATGATTATGTGCGACAGAATGTCAAACAATGGTGTTATTGCTTTCATAAACAGAGGGTAGCGTATATTGGCCATGATGAATCTACTGAAGCGTGGATGACGTAAGCGTTAGAAGCAGCGGTATCTAATATCTGTGAAAAACGTGCTCGGTGGAGGAAATTTGCGAAGATGGCAGAATTCTCACCTAACCCGCGAAAAAATCCATCTGTGTAAGAGTTCTTACGGCTTAGATCATATTTGAATAGTCAAGAATTAACGGAGCAGGCAATTCGAAATAACCGCGGAGCCCACCCAGTCATCTGCGTCAAATAAACTTTTTCCTCTGTAGTTTTTTTTTGTTATCCATTTGTGTGCGCTTTACCGAGGGAGTTTCTGTGACGGAAATGACGTCTGTGAAGCATTCGTGGACCGTGACAAAATGGCTATCGTGTCAAAAAGCGGTTGGCCGCAAGCTTGAACATTGTTTAAAAAATGACTCGAAAGACACGGTATGGCAAAGACATGGCGGCCCCTTGGATACTACGAAGCGGCGAACACCGCCCTCCCCGCTTTCCCGTGTCCACGTCTACGTACCTAATCCCACCTCAACACTCAACTCGCAATTAAGCTTTCCCTCCCATCTTAAAACTTTTCTCGGTTGGCCCTTCCTTCGTCTTCGCAGGTTCGTGGTCTTCAGCGGAAGACAGTCCACCGGCGCACCACTTCTGCCTGCCGCACAAGCTGAGGCACAAGTGGCACATCAGCGGCCCGGAGGGCGGCGTGCCGCCGCCAAACGGCGCCGCGGTGGTCATCACCACCGCCTCCATCGTGTCCGCAAACGGCAACGCCGGCAGCAACGGCAGCGTAGGCGGCTCCTCGTCTCCCGAGCTGCGTTCCTCGTCGTCGTCCTTCCACGGCCGGGAGGACACCGCCTCGTCGGACGGCGACAGCGGCGCGTCCAGCACGGACGCCCCCTCGCCCCGCAGGAGCGACTCCTCGTCGCGAAAGAGCCGCAACGGCGCGTCCTCGGGACACCACCATCACCACCACCACAGGTGCGGGCTCGAGCGACTTACCACGTCATCGCGATTCAGACCTCCGAATGACACCGAGGTCGCCCGTACCGTAGAAAACGGATTGTCTAGGCGCGGTCCATTGTTAGACGAAAAACCGTATCACGTGACCATGGCATTGCTGACGATTTAGATGCAAGTGCCAGCAGAACATCCGTAAACCACTTTAACTGGGTAGAAAAAAAACAGCGCTAACGTAACAACCCCTGCATAATTCTTTTAAGCTGCACCGAGGAAACTCTTGGCATGAAGAAAACAAAAATACATAACCGTGCTATAATTCGCTTTTTCTGTTTAGAGTCACCCTCAATGACATTCAAAGACAGTCGGTGATGGCGGTGTGACAGGATAAGGGAGTGTGCAAGAACAGCGTGATGAAGACAACTAGATCGAGATAGAGGTAACTCACTGTGGCCTTCCAGTAAGGCGAACGTCATGATCGAATTATTACGGCGACATGTTTCAGGAGAATTTAATGCCGCGTCTTCTCATTTCGCACTCAAAGACCAAGACCTCGAACAGGAACAGTAGGATGACACTAGTACGTATCTAGTGTCACGAGGGAGGCCCCCAAAGGTTCTTTCGTTGGCATTTGCTTGCTAATCCAGAAGTGCAGTGGAGTGGCAATCGAATGCTCGAGCTCCGTTGCTGTACACATGGCAATAAACACCCACACTTCTCGTGCAGGTCGGCTCACTCGCGGTTAGACCTGCAGACGGAGAACTTCCAACTGCGCTCCGAGATGCAGCGGCTCGCCGCTGAGGTTGCCAACCTGCGAGACATGATGATGAGCGGAGGACCTTCGCCACACAACGGAGCCCCACCCCCGCCTCACCTGCACCCGCTGCAGGCGGGAGCTAACGGAAACGGCTCGGCGGCCGAGCTGCACGGTGCCGACCATCCGCCGCACCTGCAACCACCGCCGCATCTCCAGCACCTGCAGTCGATGGCGCAGGGAGCGCCGCCGCTCGTGCACCATCACCACAGGCACAACGGCTCCAACGGACGCGTCGCAGCGGAAGAGAACGGCTCGACCAACGGCTCGTCGACGCCTACCATGAACGGCGGAGGCTCGAGCCGCGAGGACAACCCCAGCCACTGACGGAACAAACCATTCCGTCCACGCGAACATGAAGAAAAGCCAAGGTGCTCACTCTCACACTTATCTCAACCGCCCTGTTCATTTTCCATCACGCGCCGCCGTCTCGAGAAAGACCTGCGCATGCGCGCAGGAGCGGAGCCTGCGCGGGCGTAACTTCCGGAGCGCCTCTAGTAAGTCACGCAGCACGACCGAAACACGCCTGCCCGTCATCATTCGCGGTTTCGTAATCCCAATTTGCGAGTCTACACCGACGTGCAGCTACGCCACGTCGGAAAACATGTACTGAATTGGCCCGTGAGTAGCAAAGCTTGTCACTGATGCCATCTATTCGTGTGGTCAGGAACTTATCACTGTGCATGAGAGTGTAGAGGTGTGTAAGGTGTTCTACCACTGACTGCCCGGTCCTCGCTAGACCGACTGTGCTGTGGTTCTTGACAGGAATGGACAAACTGTTCACGCGCACCGATTCCCTGCCATACGTCATTCGTTAAAACCAGTGCGGCGTCTGGAGCGCCCTGTGCCGACGTGCTCGACACTGTCAACGTGGTCGCCCTTCTGGGTGGCTGGCTGTCAGGCCGGACAACCGGTCTCCATCTTCACGACCCGTGACCAATGGACAACTGGCCAGCAATTCAGCGCGCCGCTTCCACACCGACGAGTCTGCGAAGTAACATAGTCTAGACAAGATCAACGTCTCTGCGTCATCTACCTGCCAACGTTAGGTCACCAAGGGCAGCTGTGTTAATCCATCGGCCTAAATAGGCAAGTTACTTTCTGGTCTCTTCTGACGTCACCGGAAGAAGGCTGACTCTACTGTCAGGAGTGCTCCATCGGCTTTTAGTTTGTCAGCTAACGATTTCCGTGACGGACTTGTGGTACTACCGTAAGGCCGGCCGGCGATCTTGCTGACGTCTCTTATATCTGTGGTATCGACTTCGTGATGTCATGTTGCCGATGTCTACGTCATCTGTGCGGACCTATTTGAGGGAGTGCACACACTTGCATTACTTTCAGTAGCGTTGGTGGAGCAAGCAGGGTCTTGTAGCCATAATTAATGCTTCTTTCAATGACTTTCTTTTTTCATCATTCCTGCCCGTTAACATGACATGTTCCAACATTCTTTGCCGTCATGAAATTATGACGTTAGATTGTCCAGCTAGCCGCTGTGTCATGCAACCATTTATGCTGTAATGTAGGAAATCTTACCCAATTCAAGGCGCACCTCATGGCCAAACAATATTACCAAGCGTTCAGCTTTAAAGGTCGAAAGAGCATGTAAAGCTGATGTATATTTGCGGAGAAGACAACCTATCAATAAATAAAAACGTATTTAAGCTCAGACGATATAAGGCCGAATTTCAACTTCATAAGTCCATGTATTGTTTTTCATATCCTGCCTTAGTCCTTCTTCGACACGGTGACAAGCTCCTCAGGATAGCAATAAAATTATCAGCATTGCTATTTGGACCCAACCATAACCCTGATATCATTTGTTATGTCGCATAGCGTAACATCGTTATCATTTTCCTTTTTCGCTGTTAAACTTCCAACGTAAGGGACTGCTGTGTTCAGTTTTCCCAGTGTAAGAACCGAAGGATTAGTTGTCCAAAGACCAGGATACTGAAAGGCGATTTTGTGCCATGTTTGTCATTTAAGCATCAGCATTTTTTTTTTTTTGACGTCGGTTACGTTTCTTAAGGTCGCCTAGAGTTGTGACTACAACATCACGGCACTCCTTCCTCAAGGCCTACGAGGAACACCCTATAGTGGAGCGCAAGCGGGGTATAATGGCAAGTGGGTATTTTACGTCACTCTTTAACTGGCTTAATTACTTCGATGGGAACAGAAACGTTCGCTACAAGTTCTCTAGCAGGCAAATACAACAAGCGGGTGCATTCAAGACCAGAAAAACTGCATCAAAGCAAAGCGCCATTCCAGCTGATCATCGATAACGTCTCGTGCATCTCGAACGCCTTCATAACAATCCAGAAGTATGGCAACTTCCGGGAGAAACGCAGTAGGCTGTCGTCGTGACCACAGTAAGCAATGATGAAGGTGGGAGAGGCGATGCTTTCGTAAATGATCAGAAGGACGAAACTTCTCAAAAAAACCACCAAGCTATGTCAAATCTCTGTACTATATGAACGTTTTTCCTTTTTGCTCAAAAGAAATCTATCCGACAGTTCTGGCGGCTAGACCACACACCCATGCCGATAACCCGTAAGACCTCCCGTTTCAAAACATCTGGTGTCTAAACGACCATCAAAATTAGCAACAGAAGCGACGTCGCGCACACAAATGAGAAATGGGCCAATGTATAGGCAAACTTCTGAAGACCTAATTTATTGTGACATCACTTCAATGTCGTCAAGAAAGTGAACGATAAACCTAGTTTCACAATAACGCTAAAAGGAATCAGGCTGTACTGTGGTCACGCTGCGGCCATCTTACGCTCGAGCCTGGCGGTATTCACGAAACACCGCTCGCTTAATGCGCTACTGGAATGCTACTTTTCTCCAACACAGACATCATAGGCATTCTCGCAATGGTGTCGATACCAAGCTCTGTTTTTGCGGAGTTCGAAGCCTGCGAAATGATACATCGTTCCCGCATCGTATGACGTTTCACTGAGTGCCCAGTGGGGAAGGCGTTCGAGAAGGTTAGCTAGCCAAAGAAGGCACAACAGCCGCGCTAACCTCACGATCCACGCACTCAAAAAACAGAAGGCAAGAAGCACTATCTTGCGGAGGACAGGCGAAAACTCATTGCTTAGCTATGTCTAGCCCTACGTGGGAGTCAACAACTTGTAAAGATCCCTTCTACATGGGGTACCAATTCACTGGCCTTAAACCGATCAACCGACCTGCAATGCGATATAAGAGACAAGTCACAGCTCGTGTGCGGAATGGTATGCTAAGCCTCGCGAGGTAGTGCTAAGCCTAGCGCTCCATGTTCGCGAAAACAGACACAAAGTAAACTGTCCTGACAGAAGCGAACACCAACGGTGCGGTCGTTCACTGCTTCACCGTATCCACGGTGGCCAGACGCTGACACATTTTTTAGAAGTGACACTGTTTCTTCAAAAGACAGGTCCCTGACGGCACGTTGGCAAGACAGCCTTATGTAATATCACGAGTGTTCAATAGTGAGCTTACACAAGATGAAGCTGTGGTGACAGAGAAGTGAACAGGGTGGTTGGTGGTCTCGTTTTGTGCCGATAAAAAAAAAGTAGGAGCACGAGAGGTGCGCAAGATAGCACTATTTTTTTCTTCATTACTTCTTTTGAGAGCGTTGTGCGGAGGCAAAACACATTGACGTAGGTTGTTTATATCGCAGTTATTGTCTGCCTGCTGAATCGACCACTTCTGGTCTCTTTTTTTTTTTGGGGGGGGGGAATGCTGTCGTATGCTGGGTTTTTGTCGTATGCTTGTGATGATAATTGTGTACCAGTCGGTGAGTGCTTGTGTGAGCGTGTGTGAACGGTTAGTAAGGACTGTGCCACTAGTGTACTGTAAAGAAAAAAAAAACGTCACGGACAATGCACACGGACAGTGCTGGTGCTGCTGAATTGCTTCGTTTGCCTGTTTATAGCAACATTTTTTTTTTCACACTTTCTCAAATGTATTCATTATCTCACACTACTGTGTCGTATCCACGTTAATATATAAGCATGCTACGTCTCTTTCATTCGCTTGCTGCCCAAGGCCCAAGCTCTTTGCTCCTTCTTCATACGATCATAAAGACACGACTGTAGCGAACAACGGCTCGGCTGGTTTCATTCTGCTGAACCGCAACCTGCAGCTATGGAGCGCAGCGATTAAAAGGGTGTACTCGACGAAAGAAAAGGGAGTGTTGTTATTTCATTTGCAACAGTGACAGCTGGTCAACTATTTTCGAGCTCTTGTGCTCTCTAGACGGAGTATGTTCATTCTCCTCGCACAAACAGAGTGAACGTGCCGCATCAAGGGAGTGAATTAACTCCCTCAAAGGAGTCAAACGAAAGACGCAATTACTCCCTTCGAAAAAAAGGTCAAGAACGCTTCCTTTCCTCGCTGTGTATTTTTAACGGCACTACAGAATGGGCCCCAATCATTCTCTGAGTCGTTTTGCTGTGAATTCCCTGTATGCTTGTACAGTCCAGTCCACTGTTAAAGGGAACACTACGTTTTGGTTTCTGCCATGGAATATAGTCAACCAACGGCGCAAGGAAAAATTTGATATTTCTTCAGTAGAATTGATACACGTATTCTATTGTATCGTGTTTTTATTTTTGCCGATCGGAGTGCATAAATTATGTTGTATTGCTTTTTTAATAATGACTGACCGTTCCTTTTAACAGCGTACGGGACTGTATTTCCGAAGTTATGTTAAAAGCTCTTCGTACATGAATTATTTGCCTCATGTGTAGAGAAAAATATTCTTGCTGCATTACAATAAATAGAAACAAAATATAACGAATGCAATTACACGTATATTTTTCTGTATTGGAGCCATAAAAACACTGACCTGGGCATTCGTGAGCGTTGCTCAAGCCCGCGAGTGTCAATAAATTACGACGAAATACAGAGACAAAAACAAGCTGAACCCACAAGTTGATCTCAACAATCAAAACAGACTCCCATGGGAAATCTGAAAAATCTATTTTTTCACAGACATCACTATTTTCTTATTTGGTTCACAACCTCGATGTTTGCAGTAAAATTAAGCTAAGGCAGTCCTCAAACACATGTGCCTAAAATGAACAACACTGGCAACAAATACTTAGGTTCCACAAGTTCTTCATAGTTCTCTCCAGTGCCGAGACCTAGTTTTCTTTCTCTTTCGAGCTATTTCTTTAAAATAATTTTGTCTGGAGTATTGGAGCATTCATTTTTAGAAACATGTCATGGGATTCATCGTATGGAGCTACAGAGTATACACTGTAGCATTTTTCAACTTTACTTTAAAACGACAAAAAAGTTATATGCCCCGAAGCTCGCAGAAGAACAAAACTTGGACTGCCATTTCATCAGCTTTCTGGAAAAGTCTGGTGATAATTTCAAAAGCGTAACGCTTATCATCTTTTTACAACTGAAGTTTAAGACGGTGTCTGTGATGATTATTTCATCCCCTAAAGGCTGTCGAGCCCCACCAGGCTATCCCGCGGTGCATCATGAGGCTTACCCGACCGGCAGCTTAAACGTCGAACTGTTTGCAGAAGCCCCAGTGGTTGCAAAAGACGTAAATAGCAGACGATAAGATCGCCTGTTTTTGTACAGTCGCTTTAGGGAAAGTTTTCCTCCCGTAAACAATATTTATTTTGCTCGTCTGCTTTGCAATCAAGCAGGCTATCGCCGCAGGTGACAGACAGTCTGCTAACAGGCCAAGGCGCTATGGCGAGGGTATTGTGACGTAACAAGAACGTCCAGAGCACGTGGTCTCCACGTTCCGCCAATCACACGTCTGTGTCATTCAGATATATTGTTGCAGACGACACTACGGCAATACCGCTTCTTGGCAGTTTTTTTTTTTCCTCCTGTGCTTTTTGTGTTCAACGAAACGTTGCTGCCGTGCCTTTCTGTAATCAATCACGCGTTATATTTGTTCTGCACTGTCACATAATTGATTCAATGAGTGTATCTGTTTATTTTTATAGCTTCGTTTTTATGCGTTCTTCGATCAAAACCAAGCGATGGCTGACGCATTCCGCAAGAATAAAAAATTAATCCCGCAGCTTTTACGGGGGCGATTAATCTTAACTTCGATAATCCGGCGTTTCCTTTCGTGAAACATCAGAAAACTAGCCATTGGCTTTTTTATTCTACGAGATTTTTAAGTTTCGATTAGCGTACTAGTACACTAAAATAGAAGGTATGCAAATTCACGTTTTCATTATAGAGCCAATTTATGCATAGGAATAGGGTATAACTGAAACTTTTAAATGTCCCTGAGCTATTTCAGCCAAACAAAAAATCTGAACCAAACGTTTCCTGTAACATTTTGAATAACAAATGAAAACAAAATGTGACAAGCATGTCGGTCACGCTTGGCAGCTAACAAAATTTTATAAACACAAAAAAAAATCACCCACCATTATTTTCCTTGCGTAATGCCCGTCAGTCTCGCTACAAATCACCAGTGTGTGTTCTCAATCTTGTCAATATAAAAAAATTTATATCATACAAGCTTCTGTTTGCCATGTCGTGGGAATTGTTGTAACGCGGAAGTTGTGGACAATTTTTTTTCCTCGAATTTCTTTCATTTCACCATCCATCATTCCCTCCATGCATCTGTATTTCGACAGTGTCTCTGTTTATAAAGAAAAAAAAGAGAAAAGAAAATTTTCTTCGTGTCGTTTGTGCCCTTCCCTCGCATACGAAATAACCGTTCGTCCAAACCTGTATCGTACACAGTCTGTCAGCGTGGTATTTTTTTGTTTCTTCTCTCTTCGCGTTCACGACGGATCGACAATAAAAACGTAAGAGTTAAAACTATATGCATATCTGTACACGCGAGTACTCAAATACTCGCGTCGTGTCCTTTCTTCGTCTCGCGGCAGAAGTGGCCGGTCCAACTGGCCCCCTCTTCAACGCAAGAACCACGGAGCTTTTCGGTAGCATGAGTCCTCGGTTACACTATCTGCTACATTCCAGACCAACCTGCCAAGCGAGGTCGTGAGTTGTCCGAAAGCCATGATTAATATGAGATAATAGTATTGAAAAGAACGGAATAAACATGGCTAAAAGTTGTATATGATAGAGTGGACGTTAAGGTACGTCATAAATTCAAATTGGCGCCTTGTTGCCAAAAGTGTAATAGACCCTTTTAGTAAAAGGGCGCCCCAAACAACCATTACGAGAACTACTCCTTGCCGCCATGTAAAGGGCACCGGAGCAGACGACAGCAGCAGCGTTTTGATGTAGACGCAGACGCCGCTCAGCGTTTGCGGTACACGTAAGAAGGCGAGACTTTTCCGCGCGCTCAGAAACGTCAAGTCACAACGAGTAAATTGAAAGGAATACGAATACCTTGCTGTTGTGAGCTGCGTTCTGTCTCAAATAGCTCCACGAAGAACATAACGGGGGGATTTTTTATGTCTCACATTGAAAATACAGGCGCTATTGTGGAACTACTTTCACTGGCGGTAGGATGCACGTACGAAGCGCCCGCACCTACCACCTGCCCTATACATGGCAGGCGTGTATCCCAGAACCCTTTGCAAAATTGATTCGATTGATTGATTGATTTGTGGGGTTTAACGTCCCAAAACCACCATTTGATTATGAGAGACGCCGTAGTGGAGGGCTCCGAAAATTTCGACCACCTGGGGTTCTTTAACGTGCACCCAAATCTGAGCACAGGGGCCTACAACATTTCCGCTTCCATCGGAAATGCAGCCGCCGCAGCTGGGATTCGATCCCGCGACCTTGGGTCAGCAGCCGAGTACCTTGGCCACTAGACAACCGTGGCGGGGCAATCCTTTGCAAAATTAAAACTGACGAAAAGATCACCGTCAGGCGGTGTATTTATGAAAAAGGTCTATTGGTAGAAATTAGTATAAATATGACACAATGGTAGGCTCGGCTGGTTGGTGAAGTGGAACTGACATATTCGCACAGCGCTAGATAAACAAGCACAACACCTGTGCTGTGTCCTTTCATGAGTCCTCCTTAATTTCGCACTGCTCGAAGATGTCGAAAGTAGAGACAGCAGTTAGTGTAAACGTTTCAGCAAACCCGTGCGAAATGGACGGTTCTGGTCCAAGTAAGGATTTATACCTTGTGCCTTAGATGCCTCGTCATAAGAGCAGAAGGGCTGTCGGCGGCTGGAGCGTTAACACGAACGACGAAGACAACCACATCGATAGAGATAACGACGGCATCGTACAAAGCGATGACGTCACTGATCGACGAAACTTGTGACGTAGTTATAACGTCCCGTACAAGCACGCCACCACACGAAGTCATCGCGTACCCTTCAAATTAGATGTTCGTAGCGGAAACAGTGCAAAAACATGTCAAGTGCGCAAAGCTTCCTGGGTGGTTGAAGAACGGGAGAGCAAAAGGGCAAGGATCAATAAATTTAACGAGAAGGACTGTTTGCTAACACCAGTCTAAGCAACCCAAGGCTTGGATTAGGGTCTCTGTACTTTTTGTATGTAAATGTCAACGTGGCAGTCATCACAGCTTGCACGCATCCGCACCTATGAAGTCTTCAACTGATGTATTTAGCCTTAAACTACACTGTAGTATTTATATTGTTACGAGAAGGAAATGCGTTGCACAATATATTTACAAGTAAAATTTCTTGTTGGGATAGTTGGTAATTTGTTATATAGTAAGTAAATTCAGCGAATATTCAATATGCTTTGAAATGCCTTGTTTCCTTAGTGGA